ATGCCACTTTACTTAACCCTACATTAACAATCACATAGGTACAGATTTAACATTACTGTAACAATAGACATAAATACAAATTTAATATTTCTTGAACAATAACATGAATATAATTCTAACATGTGATGGTTGAATGAGTAGGAAAATTCAATAATTAAACATATACATTATTTCATATTAATAAAAATTTAGGAACATAAATTTAATTTAAATACAAGTACCTACATTAAGAAAATACCGGACATGCGAGGATATTAGTTTATCTCCTTGATGTTTTTCTTCTTACACTTCCAAAATCTATGAAAACTCAACATAAACTTAATTCATTTCCAATAAAGGATTTTAATTTCCCTAGTAATCACCTTAACATTTCATGATCACTATTTTAAATTTTCTAATTTGTTATTAACCCTAATTTTTGAAAATCATAAATTCCTTAATTTCATCAAACAACCATGCCAAACTTTCCTATAAACCTAATTAATATTTAAATTAACTTATTTTCGAATTATTTTAATTTAAAAATTATGAAAAATAAATTTTTTTGCAAGAAAACCTTAATTTCCATCATTAAAACCTTCCTAAGATTATTATAAACAACTTTTGTTAAGAGATTTTCAAAGAAGTTGAAAATAAGAAAAACCATAATTTTGAAATCTAAAAATTTTTTCGGGAAAACTTTACTTTCATGGCTTAAAATCATTCCTAAATCTTTCCTAAAATTTTTCTTTTTAAAACCATCAAGTTTGGAAAACCCTAGAAAATTTCATCACCTGCCTCTTACATTTGGCTGACGAAACGTGCGTGAGAATGAAAGAGACCGAATAGATTTTCGTCCCATAAGAGTTTGGAACGGGTATGGAGAAGTCCAAATACCATTTCCCCTTCCATGCTTTAACTTTTCTTTAAGATCCTTGAGGGTTCTTAAGTAATTTGTCATTTCATTTATAACTTCAGCGATTTTTAATTCCAAATATGTGTGAAATTCACTATAAGTCCTTTATATCGTTTCGATCGAAATTTAATGTACTATTTTATAAAATTATTTTCGTCAAAATCCGACGACTTTATAAATTTCATCTCAATGCATCGAAATGCATGCAACGCTTATGATCGACATTTTTTTCTGGGTTTTATAGGTAGTCAATATAATCTTGGAGACTTACAATGTTTTGCTTAAAAAACACTATGGATGTGGGTCAAGTGGTTACCATGGGCAGAATATTCGTATAACAAATCATACCACAGCTTCTCAGAAAGTGTTATATGGAAGAGACCCCCACACTTGGTGCATTTTGGACAGGGAAGCATGCCAGTCTCCTTAGTAGAGCAATACTTGGAGAAAAAGGATAGCGTGTTAGAGGAATTGAAGAAACACCTGTTGAAGGCAGAACAAATCATGAAGAAATAAGCTGATAGACACGAGAAGGACATTCAATTCTAAGTGGGGACAAGGTGTTTTTAAAACTGTAGCCTGACAGAGGACAGTCACTAACAAGAGAAATGAGAAATTGGCTCATAGATATTTTGGCCTGTACGAGATAGTGGAAAAGATTGGAACGACGATTTATCGCCCGAGGTTTCCCCCAACCGCTAGCATACATCCAATGTTTCATGTATCCTAGTTGAGTAGGGCTATAGGGGAGCATACAGCTACTGCGACATTATCGACGACACTGACTGAGGATTTGGAGGTGATGTTGGAGCCCTTGGAGCTTAAGGGGGTGCGACAAGGAGAAGGGAGGGTCAAGGAAGTACTGATTACATGGAAGAACCTACCAGATTATGATGCCACTTGGGAACCATACGAGAGAATAAAGACCCAATTCCCATCATTTCATCTTGAGGATGAGGTGAGTCTTTGGGAGGAGGGTATTGTTAGACCAACCCTTGAGTCGGATGAACCAGTCCAACCTAAACCGGTTCTTGTCTATTCCATGCGAAATAGACCCACCTGATGGAGGGGGTAGACGGCTTGTGGGGCCGAGTCTTCTTAATTGAAGAATTATGGCTTTAATTAAGAAGTTTTGGAGAGGGAAAATTCAAAATTTTAAGGGTTGCTTAGGGATTCGTTTGTGTGCTTTTTCTTTATGTAGTATTTTTTTCTAGGGTTTGGTTATATTGTATGTTTTGGAGAATTTGGTGTGTTTCCTAGGTTTGTTTGGGTTCTAGTCTCCGGCTAGATGTCTTGTTTCTCCGGCTAGATGTTGGAGAGCATGATCTTCCTCTCTAATTGAAGGTCTAACTTTATCTTGCAATTTTCTTTCATCTTCTATCAAATCAATAGTGTTTCCTCCGTTATTTCTCTTTTTCTCTCAAAAACTGCTTGGAGGTGTGTTGGATTTCTTTATTCTCTCCTTTTTCCTATCCGCATCCTGATAAAGATTCGTCTTCTCAGAATTTGTTGCTAGGTGTGCAATGTTTATACCAATGATTTCCTTGACTAGACATCTTCGATCAACAATACATAGACCCAAATCCTCAAATCAGCTCTAAATCCCTCACAGATCTTCACCTAAACATTTTTAGCATTTTTGCACTCCTACCTTACATCTAATCAAGTTGTCAGGTTCAAACATCCCTATCAATTTTTCTACTTCTGTTCATAATAATTTTGTTTCAATCTTTTTTTTCATGGTTTTAATATATTTTGGCAATTTTAATCTTCCAATTTATTTAAATCTATCTTACTTGTATGGCATATTTGTTCTCTATACTTAACAAATTTTGCTTACTGTAAATATGATGCGGGCATTCGGTCCCACAATATTTTTCCTATAAATTCATATATTCATATTTATTAAAATGTAAATGTTTCTTCTATTAGGCCTATGCACCTTGTGTAAATTGAAGGTCAAACAAAATTTTGTTCATTCGTGTATTCTGCTATGGAGAGTTCTTGAAAAGAAAGGAGTCAATAATGCTTATATTCAAATCATTAAAGACATCTCCCCCCTTTTCATTCTCTGTATGGCATTTTCACGAGATTTGGCCGAAACAGAGCTCGAAAGGGAGAACGTTACCTTCACTATACGCGAGCTCCCTGTGTTGCTTCCGATTCAAAATGTCGTAACTCCCAATCCGACAGAAAAGGGGGGGTCGGTCGGGGAGCTGAGCCGAAGCAGCGACAAAGAGAGCTGGAGGGGCTCGGGTTCGGTCGGAGGAGGTCGGGCAAGAGGGAAATCCGGCTACAGGTAAGTGTTCCGTTCTCTCTCTCTCTCTCTCTCTCTCTCTCTCTCTCTCTGGACGGAAGGGGAGCTTGGGATCGGAGGAGGGAGATCGGGGGGCTCGTGGAAGCGGGAGGAGAAACAGAGAGCTTTCGCGTGTGTGGAGTCGAACGTGGAGAGGCGTCGGCAGGGAGGTTGGACGGGATGGAATTGAGCGTGGATCAGGGCTGAGGTCGGATAGAGGGGAGGAAGAGCTCGTGCGAGAGGAGATCGTGAGCAACGAGAGAAGTAGGGGTTCTGGGTCGGTATTTAACGACGTCTGGGGTCGTTCGATCGAGGCGAGTCGCTGGTTTTGAGCAGAAATTGCGGAATGACGCCAAATGCGCAGTGGTATCGCGGGATTAGAAGTGCCTCAATGGGATTTCTGCCGGCATTCATGAATCCAATAGGTATTATTCTGGTTCATTTTTGGAATTTAAACAGAGGTTAACACTTACATGAAAGTTAACTAAGCTTAATATCTATTCTTATTTTAGCTTTTGTTATTTTACAAATTATATATGTTAAATATTGATACATTATTTATAATTTTAAATGGATTAAAAAATTCACAATTAAAATATCCATATATGATATTTTAAATGAGAGGACATAAATTTTTCTATATTTGTTAATGTCTTTAGGAATTTAAAAAAATGAATAACAAATAATTAATTTTAATATAAGGGCAATTTAGTCTTTTATCGCAAAAAATTTAAAGCTAATAAAATAACCAAACAATTGATATATGTTTTTATATTTGCATAATCATGTCAAAAGCAATCTAACCAAAAAACCACCAAATTATTTAAACAGTTTTTTAAAACTCTATTTTCTAAACAACTGCTTTAAAACCAACTTCTACAAAAGGAGTTTAGCAACCAAACAAGCCCTGAATGTGCAAAATGAATATTTTTTAAGCACATTTCTAATATAAATCAAAACTAATTTTTAAAAAAATTTAGCAACATAAAAGTTTCACCTACCAAAAGCCTTATGGCTCAATTAGTTGGGCTGTTATGTCGAAGCCTAGGATTGCTACCGCACGAGCACACTTAATTTTAAAGGTGCTTAATGAAATTTAAACCATTATGTCAAAAGGCATTTCAATATTTAAGAGTTTTATTTTTTTTTAATTAAGAGGTTTTATAATTTCCCCTACTTAAATAACTGACGTCATTGTCAGTATCTTTATCCTATAATCATCCACTAGGCATATAAGATTCTAGAGGTGACCCGTACAATTTCAATTAGTGGCTCCCGCATATAGCACTGTCTCATATACGGTTTAAGAGATGACTCCATGGCGCAACACTTTGGCCTGTATGGCATTTAGTTTCCATCTTCCGGTTGGAGTATAACTCTGATACCATTTTGCCACAGCCCAAGATTGCTCCCGCTCGAGCACGCTTAACTTTGAGGTTTATTAATGAAATTTCAATCATTATACCAAAATGTGCATTGATATTTAAGAGTTTAACTTTTTTTTACTTAAAAATTTTAAGGGATTTCACACTTTAGCTGGTATGTGATAGCAAAAATATGTGCAACTTGTTTGGGTAAAACATGTTGAGATGCTTTTCAATAAAATTATAAAAAAATGCCTTCAAAACGGAGTCTTGAAAATGCTTCATAAAGTAGCTTTCTAATAGCTTCTGAACTTCTTAATTAGATGAGAAGCCCAACTAAATCAGCCATTAATAAGAGGATCCAAAGTGCTAGAGATGATTAATATTATATAGATCTTAGGACACAATCATCAATAGAATACTAAATAAAGAATGAAAAAATAACCTGACAGCTTAAATAATCACTACAAGCAAGAAAGGCGCTATTTGTTGACGATAGCTTGCAGGGGGTGAGAACGACAATCTTCGTGATAATGCCCAAGGTGCCTTCACTTCCTGCACTGCACAAATTGTCAACTACGTCATCATTCATTGCTTAATTGAACGGTAAGTGTTCATGAAGAACCTGATCTCAATAGTAAATTAATAAATACCAATAAAAAGGTGTTTTAAATCGTATCCAGTATTGTCTTTGCGTAAGGTTGTAAGCATGTCTAGAATGGTTCCATCAGCTAAAATGACTTCAAGACCTGAAAGATATACAAAAGAAATTATCATACACATCAAACATAGGTAATAATGAAAAGCCATTTTACAGCAGGGAAAATAATCACAAAACTTCAAGGAGAAAGAAACAATCCAGTTAAGGTAGAAGGAATCAAAGAAAAGACGAGCATCTCTATGCATGGTACTACACGTATCACTGATAATCTTGAGCATGAACAAAAAATTAGCATAAGCTATAATCTTGACCAATGGCTCTGAGAAACCCCCTAACAAACTACATTACCAAGTGAATCTTGAGTATAGTCAGCCTTCAATCCTGATACCTAATAAAATTCCAACTACAGTAAGAAAATTAACAAAGAATATAACAAAACGTTTTTTTTCTACAATAAGATAAAACTAATACAATTTTAGCAATCATTTCAGACATCGAACAAGATGAGAAGAAGCATAGTTATCAATAAATAAAATCAGTGATTCAAATAAAAGGGTGTCTAATAAATCAAATATTTCCACAGGAACCGAAAATAAAAGCTAATCTTCCTTCCGCGGAAGATTAGTTTATTTAAGCTGATTGGAGCTTGAAATGAGTGGACATTGTGCTAGTATATTCAAGTATCATTACAGTTTTTTTTTTTTTTTGGAGGGGGGGGGGGGGAGTGTAACATTTAGGTCAACAAACTCACACACACATCATATACGTCAAATGAGGGCGAAATCTCTGGGTAGTGTCTTATCTACAAACCCATCTGCCTTCTAAAATTTACCTCGGAACCTATTTCGTTAAAACTCCCTTGCCGAAAAAAAGAAAAGTGCGGCGGACGGAGGCCGGGGCCGAATTTTCAGAGCCCACAATTATCTTATTAAAAAACAAATTGACACTGGACTAATATGATGTGTAATATGAATAGATGCAAAGGAAAGTAAGGATTAGAATTTTCTAATAGAACTAATATGATGTGTAATATGAATAGATGCAAAGGAAAGTAAGGATTCATATATCACAAGCCACCAAATAATTCTATCACTTGCTTTTTTAAAACAAAAACAACCAATACTAGACTTATAACCCAAAAAATAATGAAAAGATTCAATAATATAAGAATTTCAAAAGAAAATTGAAAACAACTAAAATGAGCAAGCAAATTAAATATAATTTCACATGTCAATATCAAATTATATAGATGAAAAAGAATAAGAAATAAAAACAACAAAGTTAAGAAAATATATATACCTCATATCAATACAAGAAAATGATTTCCCGTGGAATCAGGTATTCACAATTGTACCACACTTGAAAGAATCACATTCAACTTGCACTGATCAGATTCGAATTGGAAAGAGCAAATTTATTCAAAGCAAAAAAAAAATTAATTAAATGACAGAACAATTATTTAATGATTCTTCATGCCCTATGCTAGTGTATATAGTTGGCACTGCATTAATTTAATTCAAGTTTAAATAAATTCAAAGATAAGAACTAATTCCAAATTTCCAACTATATTTTAAATCCATAAATTTTTTCTCCATTTTTAATCGAACATGCAAAATCAATCTCTTAACCTTCTAAGGCTACAGTAACAATCTGTTAAGCCCACAAGTATAACAACAAAACATGTAGCATGCACATAGTGCAAGCCTCACACAAGAACTGTAGCTCCCTTGAAACGCGACGTTATCCAGCATATTGTAGGAAAAAGGGAGAAACTCAAGAGTCAAAACGACCCAAAACCCAATGCCCAAATAAAATTTTAACAAAATAAGTCAAAAAGCCATAATGTACATAAAGAAAATCCAAAAACAACAATGTAAATAGATTAAAGCTCCACCTCCCAAGAAAAAAAATCACACCTTCCATTAACATATGAAACAAAGAAAACCAAGATCCATCACGTAGCAATTACACATCAATCTATTCGGCTTTAAAAAAATTGAATCTGACGAATTGAACTTTGGATATTCAAAAAGCAAATATAAGAATAATATTTATGCTTCCTGCAATGTAATGCATGAATAAAAAAAATGGTTTTGCCACGCAATGTTGGCTCCGAAATTTCACACCCCGACCTTCTACGTTGGAAGAGTTTTAACAGAATATTTCAGGTGAAATTTTTAGAAGATAAATTAGATTTAAGATAATATACTATCCAGAGATTTGCCCTCCATTTGTGAGGCCTTTCAAATTTGAGTTTAAATTTCACATAGACGCAAACTCCTATGGTTAAGAGCACTTTCAATTAAGACTAGTTGTCAGATAGACATTAAATGCCAAGCATATAGTTGGAACAAATTTAATATCGAATTTAATGTTTAGGATTTAAAATTTATCACCTTACTCTTAAAGTAGATGGTGAGAGGATAATGACAAACTAAATCAAGATCTGTCACGACCCGGCCCGGTTAGCTCGTAAATACGAGGCGGGAACGAGATCGGACATGTAATTTAAGTACTCATCAGTTCCATGTAATTCTAAAGATATTCAAGAATAATAAAAAGCGCCTCTAATTTTTCCAACATATATAACATTTAAAAACCATCACAAAATAAGCATGAAAGAAACAATGAAATATTTTGCATGTGTAATAAATATTCTATTCTATTTCTATAAAACATGTGATAAATACTCCATTTTTAAAACATGTCATAAAGGCTTTAACTTATAAAATGATATAACATGAAATAACAAATGAACATGTAAGGAAAAGAATTCCTACCTCCAAATATTATGAATTCCTCCTCTTTTCCTCTTTAATTACTCTTCTTCTTCTTGCCACCACCTAAAGGAAAATAATTTAACTTAAACCTTGCCAAAATAAAATTTCTAATTCTTTTAGAAGCTTCCTATAACATTCCTACACCTATTCTTAAGGTATAACATCATAAACCTCCTACCAAACTTTGATGTTTTTATTAATAAATTTCGGATTTAAATAAAATATAAATTATATGAACCTAAAAATTCATCCAATTCATCCTAAGTCCTTCTAAAACATTCCCCTTTCTTGTACATTACAATAAATCATTATTATTTTTGGAATTAAATCATACCCAGATCTCGATAGGGCCATGATGCTATTTGGGTAGTCATTGATAGGCTTACAAAGTCTGCTCACTTTTTGCCTATTCGACTGACTGATTCAGTTGAGAAGCTTGCACTGTTGTATGTGGCTGAAATTGTACGATTGCACTGCGTGCCTAAGTCCATAGTATCTGATAGAGATGGTAGATTTACTTCTAGACTGTGGAAGAAAGTGCAAGAGGATATGGGCACTAGATTGACATTCAGCACTGCTTTCCATCCTCAGACTGATGGACAAACAGAAAGAACCATTCAAACTCTGGAAGACTTATTGAGATTGTGTATCCTTGATTTTGGTGGAGGTTGGGAATCTCATATTCCTTTGATAGCCAACATATATAACATTTAAAAACCATCACAAAATAAGTTCATATACAAGGTGGTATACACTCAATCTATGCATTCATGATAAAACCACCCAAAAATGATAACTAAAAACAACAGTAAGAACCTGCCACCCGTTGCGCGTCTACTGTAGGTGAACCTCGGGTGTTCAGCCATCACCTAAGCGTAGGTTCTCCTGAAAATTTCCCAAAACTAGGGAATGAGCTATGCTCAGCAAATATTTCTAATCCTAAACATGCTCATAAGACTAAAAAATGAAATGTACAATTTTTTAAACTAAAAGGGGTCATGCTTTTCTTTTTCTAGTCATGCTATCTTGTTTATGTCATATAAATGATACACAAAATCTCATGAAATCTCCCATTTCTTTTAAGAAAAACGTACCTCAAGTCTTCCCCTACACTTTTCCTAAAGATCCCTCGCCGGAATCTCGCCGGCCGCCGTTCGGGAAGAAGCTTGTGCCGCCTCCTCCTCTCTCCCGTCGCCCTCTCTCACGTTCGGCCGAAACAAAACAAGGGACCGAAATGTTCGGTCCCTTAGGCGTATGAGGGGCTTAAGGAAAATTTAGGAAGCCAAATTATGCATGTGCCCTTTCCAAACTCATTTCCCTTAAGAGGGCTTAGGGGTAAAAATGGAAAGTCTAGCCAAAAGTTACTTAAAGAACTTCGGCGAATTTTAACTCCAAATCCACGCGAAATTTAATATAAGTTCTTTATACCGTTTCGCTCGAAATTTCGAGACGAATCTAATGAATTTATTTCGTCAATTTCCGACGATATCGAAATTTCACTTAAGTTCGTCGCGGCGCATCGATATGCGTGCGACGCACTCAATTGACGAATTTCGGGTTTTACAAGATCCTATAATTTTGTCATCCTATGTTGTCTTGGTTCCTAATCTGCAAAATCAGGAGATAGTCCAAGCATCCTTGTTGGTAGCCATGGTTTGCTTTATCCAAGGTATCTTGTAGATCCTAAGGAGATAAAATTGAGTAAAACTTAGCTAACAGATGGCTTTGTACCATGCTTCTTGATATGATAACATGCTTCTCGAGATGGTTGCACACTTTCCAAGGATGATGTGCGCTTCTCGGGTAGACCACACTATCTATAGGGTAGGGTCGTAAGTCACACATTTCAAATTTGATCCCCCTAGCAAGAATAGGAGTCGACAAGATTCGAATCCTGTAACTAATAATCCATTATATGACTAATATAAACAAATACTTTATCAAGGGTTGTATCTTCAAAATACTCGTCTGATTCATAATACATCAAACATGATTGATTTATCTCCACACTTTGGCATAGGTTCAATCTCCAATAGAAATTCAAGTTCAAATATAATCTCAGTCAAATTTCTTCCAAATTACTATTCTATATTTTCATAAACTATAAGTTCATATTTATGAATATGATCTATTGTAGATCCAAATTCATGTTAAAATAAACAAATGTAGATACATGTTATAATTGCAAATCACTTTCCACATCTAAACCATCCTCCAAAAAATGTCCTCAATCTATCGTTTATTCACTTAGATCATACTCAGGAATACAAGATATTGCATTAGTGTCTGCACAATAGTCTTTAGAGATGTTTTTTTTTTTATCACAAGTTTTAAAGTCTGACTAGGATGATTGTAATACTCCTCAATATCCAAAACTATATATAAAGTCTCATGTAAGATTTTTGGTGAATAGTTGCTTAATTTATTCTAATTTCCTATTTAAATTTTTTAGTAAGAAAATTATTAGTAACAAAAACTAAAGGCAAATAATGTTTAGCTAAACTTTGCATGATACTCAAAAAAGCAATACCTTGTTTAAAATCATACAATTGATCATGAAGTCGATCCTCTATTCACCAAATAACAATTATTTCTTTTTAACTCAATGTTTCATATTAGTCCATGATGACATCGTAACAAAACTTCCCCAAAATATTTGAGCATGTCCATGAGTTTTGATTTAGCATATTCAACACTTTGTGAATCAGTTGGAGTTTATCAAAGAAGTGTTCCAAATTATGGATCCGCTTTGAAATTTTTTAAGAACATACCTCCCATCGAATGTACAAATGTAATTTTAAATCTAATGATAATTATATTGCTATTGAAAACATAATTTACCCATCATATTTAAATTGTGAAATTTATTAACTTTCTAATTAACTCAAATAATGACCTGCATTAGTTGACATGATGATACAACCATATCACATTATTTACATTAAGAAACAGTAAGCCCAAGTCATCTTTCATCATGTAAGAAATTAATTAGAACACAAATGATAAAGAAATGGTAAAATAATACAAATTCGAGCGAGAAATTGAAAACATATAAAAATCAACAAGATAGTTTAATTTAATTTCCACAAATTAGTTTTTTTATGTTTAAAATTTTTATTTAAATCAAAAGCATTAAAAATCAATATCAATTAATATAATTAAATAAAAAAGAAACAAAATACTAAAACAAGAAAAATCAAGCCTCACGTTGAGTACAAAGAGATGACTTACCCATAATCAGGCTCGCACATTTACACAACACTATCACACATGCAACTTGTACTCATAAAATTGAAATTGAAAATAGAAATTTTATTCAAGCCAGAAGGTTTAAATTACATGCCTCAAAATAACAATTTATAGATCTCTCACGCTTTAGGCTGGCAGATAAGATTAGCAAAAACACCATCTTAAGTAAAATTTAAATAAATACAAAAGATAAGAATTACTAGTTATATTTTATAACTCATAGACATAACCATTATGAGTTGAGCAGGCCAGATCAATCCCATAACCTCCCACTAACAACCCCTAAACCCTCTAGCGTAACAACAAAGCTCGCCAACTGCACAACTGCGAGGCCCCCTCAGGAACCGTAGCTCCAAGAATAAACGAAATGCCATTTTATCCAAAATACTGTAAGAGTCAGTGAGAAAACCAAGAGCCCAGACACCACCCAAACTAAAATTCAATCGAATTAGTCCAAAATGAAGATAATGCAGATAAAACTAATCCAAATGCAGCCATCTAGAAGATCAAATTCCACCTCCCTAGAAAACAAAACGACAGCTATCATTAACATAAGAAACAAAGCTAAGATCCACCGCCTAACAGTTCCAAATCACAAACAGGGTGATGTGAAACAATTCATGCGAAAATGACTTGCATAAGGAAGTTTGCACTTGTAAATTTTAGAGAGCAATGTTAAGCAAAATCCTCTATTGATGTAAACGATAAGATAACATTAAGGTGATAAAATAGCTTTGGTCTAAACACATGCGAGAGGTTGAGATCATTAAATAGTCAACTAAATCTTACTTTGCATACATGAGTGGTTTCAACGAGAAATTCCAATACTAACAATAAGATTAGGCTATGAAAGATCCCTCACACAACTCTTCTAATTACTAGGCTTTAGCGGAAAGTAATTAGCAAGCTTCTTATGAATCGATCAAGCCACATAGTAGGATAACTAGGAAGATAAGAGATTAGGGAAAGAATTCACCATTATCAGAACTTAGGTGGTAGTCGAAAACTTCAAATCAGCACCCTCCTTAGTCTTCGATGTTAGGACAACAATCTGGCCTTCTTGGGACAGAAATTCTATGTGGTAGAAGGGCAGGGTACTCCGGAAAAGAGGCTCCAAACTTCTGGACAGCAACTAGAAAGGTGTAAACAGCAGCACGTGAAGTTTTGGACAGCAGTTTGGCACTTGAGAGGTGCCAAATAGCAGCCCGAACAACATTCAGAAGACTCCACCAGCAGCTTACTCAATTGGAGGGGTCGGGGACAGCTTGGGACAGCAAATAAGCCTCTCGGGAATGCTAGACAGCAAGGGAAACCTGCTATAGTTCTTGGACAGCAGCAGATAAATTGGGATAGCACTTAGTAGTTCATGAGAGGAGGAAAACTGAGAGGGGAGGGGCTTGGAGGTGACGGCTAGGGTTGAGGAGATTAAGGGATTGATTGGGAAGTTGTAATGGAAGGCAATTAATGGGTGTTAATTAATGTTGGGAGAGAGGGAGGGAACGGCTTAAGGAGGGAGTTGGATTTGAATTTGAATTCAAATTTAAATGAGGCTTGAATCATAATTGGGCATTAAATGAGGGAACCCATTGATGGGCCGGCAGCATGCTTAGGGGAGGAGGGAGAGGGAGAGAGCAATTAATGCCTCTTAATGCATTAAACCCATTTATGCACTGGAATAAGAAATCCAATTTAATTCAATATTAAATTAGATTTGGTTTGAAAGCTTTCCTAATTTGGTTCGGCTAATTTAGGAAAGGATTTGAAATTCAAATTTGAATTTCAAATGGAATGATGGCTCTCCAAAATCATGTAAGCTAAATTAGGTAGGTTTTAATGGTGATTAAACTACCATTAAGTGGTGAAAAGAAGGGGGCAGGCGGTGGGTTTGGTGGTGGGATTTGGCCGGCGGGTGGTGGGATATGGAGATGGGCCGAGCGGTTTGGAGGTGGAGTTAGGGTCGGGTTGGAGGAGACGGGCTATGATGGTGGTTCGGCTTGGGGTGGTGGACTTGGGTGGGTGAAGAGGGGAGAAAGGAGATGAACAAAAAAAAATTACAAGATAAGAGATAACTAACGAACTCACACAGAGATCGTAAGAACCGCGAACTTCAGACTCTTCTAAAGATTGACGGGTATTGCGAATTACCCTCCTCGAGCCTCTCCTCTCATGAACTCACTAAGAGATCAACAAGGACAAAACTTTTCATTATCAATAATCATCATCTCTTTTCCAAGAGGAAGGAGAAGGCTTAATTAGCCAAATACATGAAGGAAAAAAAAACGCAAATGCCTCTAGGGCCACATAAGACAAAACCCTCAAGTGAGGGTATAAATGGAAAAGTATACATAACAAATAAAATACATCAAAATAAGTAGACACGATCGTAGCCGTTGATCTTCGATGTCCTTATCACAGGGCTACTCATCAAAATTATTATAAATCCATATTAGCTTCTTCCGATTCTCAATCACATTTGAAATGCTAAAGATTTAATTCCATTAGCAACCTATCATAAAGAAATCAAAGAAATACAACACCAGGTTTCTAAAATTACCAAAAAGCGCTAACACAACACTTTCACAAAAAATCCTGATAAAATTATGCAATGAAAAAAATCGTGGAAAGGACAAGTTAGAAAATTCAAAAGGATAATTAACCAATTAAATTAATATTCTGTAGTTTAAATGAAAAAAAATAAAATAAAATAGAGTTTAGGCACAATACTATTCATTTTTAAAGCCAAAATTATAAAAATATGCTTATATAGAATGAACTATATTCATTTATAGGATGAAGTATTTACCAAGTATATTTCCATGAAGTGATCCATATCGTATGAAGTGCAGACCACCAGCATTCGTGGAAATATTTCCACCAATCTGACAGCTTCCTTTTGCCCCTAGATCAAGTGGCATGATATAACTGCAGAATTTCATATTTTTAGGATTGATATAAAGACGCATGAAGATTCAGTTGTAATGATTTGATTCAGAAAAAGGATAGGGTTCCTCTAAATGTAAAAAAGCATAATATCAGAAAACATGAAAGTTATGTATACCTCCCATTTTCTAGTCAGTTACATGTATTAAGGACCTGCTATATCAATAAAACAATCTAGGAGAAGAGAACTTGGCCCAACCTTCGTATGATGTTATTTCAATTTTCAGTTGTCAATTAAATAGTGACTTAACTCAGGTACATATATATATATGCATTTGAAATCTTATTTAAATGTAATTTGAAGGAGTAAGTTGGGAGAGAGAGAGAGAATTTTGTATTTATTATTAATTAGGAAAAAAAATACAATATTTATAGCATATTTAGTATCCTTAAACATCAAACTTTTATAATAGCTTGCCGCAGAGAACAATATACAAATTAAAAAGGAACTTCTAATTAATTGTAACAGGCATTCATTAATTTCCTTCCACAGAAACTCTCATCAGGCAATGAATATTTCTATTTTCCTCCTAATTCAACCTGCAACCCCTTGGATGTCATTCATCATTTCTTTCTTTTTCACTTCAAAGTCGAAAAAAAAATCCCAACTTGCTAATGAGGAAACCAAACCATGATTTAAACAAACCTTTTATAAGGAAATCTACCGTAAGCAGAAAAATAGGAAAATAAGAGATACATATAATTCTTGCTTCAAGTATTTTCTTTATAAAGTGATAATCAACCTCAACATGATTGGTTCTATCATGATGGACAAAAATACTGGTGATTCATGTAGCCGACCCCACGTAGTGGGATAAAGGCTTGATGTTGTTGTTGTTGTTGTTGTTGTTGGAGAATTGTGGGCTCCAAAAATGTGTGCCCCGGCCTCTCCGCGACCCCCTTTCTTTTTTTGTGTTGGCAAGGAGAGTTTTAAGAAGTCAATAAGATACCACCCAAAAAATTTTTCCTCATTTTGTGATGAGTTTATGATCTAGGTTCATGTTTCCTATAGGCGTAAGCCCTTATAGTTAATTACCCCTCCCGATAATGAGAGAGAACTTTCAATTAAGGCTAGTTAGGGGTGTAAGTGAGCCCAACCGTCTCAAGCTTAAGCCTCGTTTATGGGCTCACAAGTCAAGCTTATCAAGCTCACGAGTCAAGCTCGAGCTCGAACTTGAGCTCGTTTACTAAACGAGCTTGATGCGGCTCGGCTCATGAGCTCACAAGCCAACTCAAATAATTATTAATACTTTTTAAATAATTTTATTTTATTTATTAAATTTAAATATATAAAAAATAATAATAAGAAATGTTTTAAATATTTAATAATCTAAAAAATTAATATGTGATGTTTAAAATATTTAATAAAAATTTAAATATTTAAAATAATTAATAATATTTAAATAATCCCGTAAAGGCTCCCAAGTCAGCTTGAGCTCGTTTACAGTGGAAGCTCAAGTTCGAGCTTGCCTTTTGAGCTCAACTCGAGCTCGAGCTATAGCTCGAGCCGACTTTCTGCCCAACGAGCCGAGCTCGATAAGGCCACTACTCAACTCGACTCATTTATAATCCTAAGGCTAGTCGTCGAACATATACAATATCCAATGTATAGTAGCAGCAAAACTTGATATTTAAAAATTGAAATTTATATCACTACACACTTAAAGCGGGTAGTGGGCGTAATAATGATGAACCTCATCAAGATACCATGGTTATGTCATCCCGGATCATCATGGTCCCTAGACTACTTAGTTAGAGGAGGGAGTCAACCCAACCTAACCGAAGGATCCTTGTCCGCAATAATGGAATAATGGGTTGCTTCGTTCAAGGGTACCTTGTAGACTTGGAGAGAATGTTTGTCTAAATGGATATAATTGAGTCACCTTAGATAACAAAAGACTTTGTGCCCTATCGGTCATACACTATTGATTCGCTACTCAATGATTTAGAGCCGTTGAGGAACATACGGACTCTAACCATGACCATAATTTAGTGGTGCCATTTAGCGGCAAAATCACTAGGTTAGAGGGTCATGGTCATAACTGTTTACTTGTAGTGTCATTTGGTGACGAAAGCACCAGTTAGAGGACACGTGCCACATCCTTACTGGCACTAGATGAATTGAGAATGATTCCTAATGATATTATCGACTAGACATTCACTCTTTGTGAACTGAAGTGATTTTCAATCTTGTCCACCTCGACAAACTGCAGCGAATGGAGGGTGAATTTTTTCTTTAAGTGTTTATGTGCTTTATTTCAATTTTTTAATATTAGTGAATGTAAAGTTTTGAAATTTTTTGTAGAATTTAAAGATTAAACCCCTCTGGTTGATATTAGCTTTCAACACGTTCATCATCAGGGTAACTTTATTATAATTTTAAATATTTATATTTTATAAAAATTTGGGAGGCATTTTAAATGTTTGGGGTCCTCTCCGATTAAGATTTTCTATCAACATGGCCATCATCGAAGATTATTAGTGATTTTACTTTATCGGCGAACCTTGTCTACTTTGTCTACTTACCAACAAAGGATCAGCTCGTCATTGACTTTATGTTTTCATTAATGAATCTTTCTTATAATAGACATTGCTGACCTAATATGAATGTATAAAAAAGATACTCCGATCAGCACTGCAATCGTGTATTTGCTAAATGGTTCAGGTCATGTTGACTCCTATCTATTCCGAGAGAAGAATTTGACTTGAACTTACGTTCATTTATTGACCCGCACAACATCCTCAGACGCCATGTGTATATGTATATCACGCTCGCCGGGGCCCATCCGGGTATTTAACTTCATGCATTTGACTATGCATTTTTACATGATATGTTTCTATGGCAATTGTATGTGTGTAGTGCAATGGATATATAATACAACATCTTCGCATGCTTACATACAAATTATAATTTCATCTGCATGCTAACATACACGTATACAATTGTGTAGTTGCATGTATACATGTATGTTAACATATGCATTTGCACATTATTTAATCGTTCTTACATGATGTGTTGGTCTGCAGTGTAGTGGCTAACTACATTAATATGGCGCATGGTGCATTTGCATCATATGTATGTATAATGCATCCATGCATTGCCTATTAGTTTGCAAAATGCATTTGCAAGATAAGTTAATACTCTTGTGTAGTGCATGACATGTTTTCATGTCGGCATAGCGCACTGCTGCTACACAGTACATTTTTACATGTTGGATAGTGTGCTTGAGCAATGCATTTCGTATGTTGCAACATGTATATGCACAATGCATTTTGCATGATGATTCAATGCTCTCGTGTAGTGCATGATATATTTACATGTCGGCATTGCGTGTTGCCACTACACAATACATTTTACTATATGCATGTTTTGAATGCATTAATATGCATTTCAATGCATGAGGGGTGTTTTTGTAATATTCGAATATTATCAATTATGCAAGTAATTATCATTTGTAAATTGTACAAGAGATTAAACCCCTCTGGTTGATATTAGCTTTCAAAACGTTCATCATCAAGATAACTTTATTATAATTTTAAATATTTATATTTTATAAGAATTTGGGAGGCATTTTAAATGTTTGGGGTCCTCTCTGATTAAGATTTTCTATCAATATGGCCATCATCAAAGATTATTAGTGATTTTACTTTATCGGTGAACCTTGTCGACTTTGTCTACTTACCAACAAAGGATCGGCTCGTCATTGACTTTATGTTTTCATTAATGAATTTTTCTTATAATAGACATTGCTGACCTAATATGAATGTATAAAATAAATACTCCGATCAGCACTGCAATCGTGTATTTGCTCAATGGTTCAAGTCATGTTGACTCCTATCTATTCTGGGAGAGGAATTTGACTTGAACTTACGTTCATTTATTGACCCGCACAATATCCTCAGACGTCATGTGTATACGTATATCACGCTCGCCGGGGCCCATGCGGGTATTTAACTTCATGAATCTGACTATGCATTTTTACATGATATGTTTCTATGACAATTGTATGTATGCAGTGCATGGATATATACGACATCTTTGCATGCTTACATACAAATTATAATTTCATCTGCATGCTAACATACACGTATACAATTGTGTATTTGCATGTATACATGTATGTTAGCATATGCATTTGCACATTATTTAATGGTTCTTACATGATGTGTTGGTCTGCAGTGTAGTGGCTAACTACATTAATATGGCGCATGGTGCATTTATGTATAATACATCCATGCAATGCCTATTAGTTTGCAAAATGCATTTGCAAGATAATTTAATACTCTTGTGTAGTGCATGACATGTTTTCATGTCGGCATAGCGCACTGCTGCTACATAGTACATTTTTACATGTTGGATAGTGTGCTTGAGCAATGCATTTTGTATGTTGCAACATGTATATGCACAATGCATTTTGCATGATGATTCAATGCTCTCGTGTAGCGCATGATATATTTACATGTCGGCATTGCGTGTTGCCGCTACACAATACATTTTTACATGTTTGATAACATGCTTGCATAATGCATCTTACATATTGCAATGCATACAAGCACAATGTGATTGTATATCAATGTAATATGTCGCCACAGTGTGGCGCACTTTGCGTATTGTATTGTATATTTGCATAATACACCCTACATATTACAATGTGTGCATGCACATTACATGTCCAAAACATTTGCAAAATGCATATGCATGTTCTGAATGCATTAATATGCATTTCAATGCATGAGGGGTGTTTTTGTAATATTCGAATATTATCAATTATGCAAGTAATTATCATTTGTAAACTGTACAAGTTTTCATTTAAGGGCCGGTAAACGCCTTCTGTCCACTTATACAAATGTTGTGGATCTTGTGGCATGTTATCATTTTCTCAAAATTCAGCTTGTAGGAGTGTATTTCTTCCTACAAGCGAGCTGGCATTAGCAGTCTCATGTTTTGTTCACCAGCAATCCACAGTCTTTATTATAGGATC